TGAGCCCTGGACTGCCCCAGCAGAGCAGCAGCAGCCCCATTGCTGCAGCCCTTAGGGGATGTCAGAGCATTGGTGGTCCTCCAGACTGAGCTCAGGCCTTGGCCTGGAGCCAGCCGCAGTCTCCTGGAAGTTTCTCTTGGAGTTTAAAGCGTTTGGATTAGGCCCAGTTTGCCTCGTAAAGGCAGGAAAGCTTTAAGCAGGAGGACAGCAAATAACTGTGACAAAGCTGGATGGCTCTCGCAAAGTCAGGGGAGAAAAGGGAGATCTGAAGTGCCCAGGAGCCGCTCTGACAGGTGTGAGGCATTGGTGCTCCTGCAGCCCCACTCGTGGTCTGCCTGTCTCCAAAACCCGCTGGGATGCAGCGTCCCCATCGCTTTATCTATGGGATGGCTGTGTGAAAAAACATCCCTGCGTTCCTTTTCCCTGTAAATTGATCACTCCTAACACCCCGGGTCGCTCAGAAAAACAAAAGGGCCGATTTGTTCAGTTGCTCCAGGTGCTGCAATGCAATCAGCGAAGAAAGGTTGAAATCTGGGGATAACGTGGGGAGGTGTCAGCTGAACTCTGGCAGCTGAGCCAGGCTCTATTGCTGCCCTGCAGCCCTCACGGCTCCATGGTGGTGATCCCTGGCACCAGCCCTAAGATAAACAGCCCTAAAGCAGGCAGGCAGGACCTGGGGAGGATCAGTACTTCTTTTGGAGCCAGGGCTGAATTCCCTTTGTTGATGGTTTTATCACCTCTTTACCTGGGTGGGGCTTTTCATGTCATATTTTGGCAACTTCAGTGTCCCATTAAGCCATTAGCTGCAGGTCTGCTAGTGGGTGGCAGGTTTTCTTCCTTCCTGCTTTATGGGGAATTATAGGATCTGGAGAGTGATTTTGCTCTGTCAGAGCAAATTGCCTTTGCTGACCTAATGTCTAATAAAATGGAAGATGTTTCTCCAATTATTTCCATTGCGAAGCATTAGATTTTGTGTTATTTCCACCTATATTTGAAATATATACGGAGTATGGATAAATTGAAACAACCTAATTTTAGGACTTATAGCAGTTTTTCTACCTCTCATTGTAGTGCCCATGCTGTCCTGTGAAAGGAGAAAAAACAACAAGAAAGGATCTCCTCAGCACAGGTCACCAACAGTTTCAGCCGTAATAGACAACTCCATTAGGAGCAGTAATTAACGGTAAATGGAGTCTGAGTGTTTGTCTGCTCCAGATCAGTGCCCTCAACAAGGCCTGGGTGCCCAGCAGCTGAGTCATCTGCCCAACAGGTTCTGAAAACCCAGCAAACACGGTGTGGCTCCAGGAGACGTGTCCTTTCTGGTGCTCAGAGCACCCTAAAGAAAGTGGTGTGCTGAAGGAGCTACAAACTTCTGAGAGGTGCTTAAATTTCACACAGTGCTAGCCTGGAATTCATGGGAACAATGTGTTTCAGGTATCTGAATGCCAAGGAGCTTTATGCTGTACACCAGTGTTCCCAGAGCTGTGGCAGTGTTCCCATGCTGAGCCCCATGTTGCCCAGCTCCAGGGCCCTTACACAAATCTTGCACAAATAGGTGAAAAATCCACGTGAAACGGAGAAATGAAGAAATGTAACTCCGGTTTCGTCTCTCCTTTTTACCCATGCATCTTTTTCTGCTCTGTGAGTTGAGCTCTGGATTTCACTTGGAAAAAGCAAATGGGGAAAAGCAATAGAGGAAGCCTCTCTTTGCCTGCAAATCTCTGCTTGGCTGTTCTGATGAAATACCCTGCAAGGTGCTGAGCTCTTTGAGCAGCACCGGCCTTGGGCTGGGTGCTTTCGCAGAGGAGTTGTTGGGGTGCAGCTGGGAAAGGAGAACGGGCTTCATGGGCTGGGGCATCCTGTGCTGCTGGCGGGGCCAAGAGGAGTGCTAACCAGAGCATGGGATGCAACCTTTGTGCTCTGAAAGCAACTCCAAATGCAGTTAAGTTAGTGCTTCTGAGGCTTTGCCCAGCCGAGTGCAACAAACACAAACCTCACACCTCTCTGCATAGTGGGAGCCTGGGACAAGTGACAAGTGACATCTCAGGCCTTCCAGCCCAGGGAGGGTAAGGGAGTGGGGAGGAACGGTTGATTAAAATCAGAGTTTTTTGTTCAGAGTTTTCATTATAGATTCAGATCTATATCGAAATTAGTCAGCCAATGACCTCATCCAGCAATGATGAACAAACAAGATGACAAGCAAGTGTCGATAAGTCTCAGAAGACGTAACATCATTCCTGAGCACAATTAAACACAGCCTTACAAACACTCAGGCCCTGGCTTTCATGAAATCCATATGGAGTCATTAGCCTTCTTAGGTCTGGTTTTCCAACACTCTTAGATGCAGGATGAGAGCCTGACTGTACAAAAATTCACTGAGATTATGTGGGCTCTGAATTTAAAGGGAAAGAGCCATTTCTGAGGAATCCCTTTCTAAAAATACTTGCTCTGGAAGAGGAGTGGTGAATCTGCAGGCAATTTCAGACCTTCTCCCCAAACCAAGCACTCACATCTCCAGTGCTGTGTGAGCCAGCCTGCCCCTGGCCTGCACAGCATGTGCATGATGCCACGTATTCACTCTGCTCTGCTCCCATGTTGATCTGTCAATGAAGGAGAGGTCATCTAATGGCAGCAAACAGTAAGTAAATGATAAGGGGCTCAATTTGTTTATGCTATTGCAGATTTCAGATGACATCAGAGCTGCATAACTGCTACGTAAAACATTACAAAATGCAACACGCAGACTCTCACAAAAGACAATTTTTTGCAGGATCAGACCCTTGTTCACTTTTTTCAGTGCTTTTTTCACAACAGTAATTTCAAAGGGGAAAAGTATTATTTAATTATCTTCTTTTCTTGGTTTGAATTCACCAGCTGCATATCTTCCCCTGGCTTTATCAAAGAAGCCACTGGTATAAGAGCACATCTAATTTTAGGCGGACTTTGGTTGGCTGACTTAAAATTGATCATGCATTTTAGTTTCAGTAACTCACAATTTCTGCGCACTTTGATAGTGCACTTTAGAGAACAAGTCCTCTTTAATGACAAAGGCTTAAAAGAAATGACCTTTCTGAACAAAATATCAAAGCTTAGAAAAGATAGTCCCTTGGAAAAAAAGGCTCAGCTAAAATGACCTTGTGTTCTGAAACTTTTTCATACAATATCTGACATCTTGCTTTTCTTTTGTACCCTCGGAATGAAACCAAGTATAATTCAGTAGTGTGCGGTGCCTCCAGTACATGTTGTGATTTGGGAAGGACTTGCAGTGCACTAAGATAATTAAAATTAAATAAAAGTCCAGTGGCATCGACATGCTGTCAAAACTGCTCATCGCTAGAACCAAAGCTGTGTATGTTTTCCAGAACATCCAATAAAGCACTTTCATATACTATAGTGATCACAATTATTTTCTTCGCAATAAAATCTCTTTCTGCAGAGCAAAATCACTACTCTGAAACCACAGATTGCAGAGATTTGGGCAAGTCACAGGAGTATCTGCTGTGCTGCCCTGCCAGCACAACAATTAAAGCACTGTTGCTGCAGAAAGCAGAGGGCTGAGGGAAGGAGGGAGGCTGTATCCCTTTTCCTCCAACCAACCCAGCAATGAGCGTATCTGTTACACGTAACACAAGAACTGTGAGCAGCACCCAAGTGAAGTTTCACCTTGATAAAGGGAACCCTTGATGCTGGTGGACAATGCTCTCGTGCACTTTTCTTGTGCTTTAACATAGAGTGGAACTATCCTCTCTCATACAGCAAAATTCAGTGTAATAACAACAAATAAACATCATCATCGTCAACCCATGCAAATGAAGCTCTGACCATATGCCAGCCAGCTCTGCCAGGACTGCTGGCAGCTCCTTGCCCTGCAGGGGAAAAGAGGCAAAGAGCAAGTTCTGGAGGGCAGAACGTTTCTAGACTTCAACCTTACCTGTTACAAAGTGATCACAGAACCATTATCAACTGCAAACGAGCCCCAACCAACACTGAATTTAGTTCTTATGGGGTTTATAAGCACCTTCACAATGCCCCTCATGCTGTATGTGGTTTAGGAGAGTTTCACAGAGCTCCCAGATTGACCGAGATCTACTTTTCTGAAATGGCTTTTTGATCATCAACATCCAATTCTACCAAAAAGAAGGAAATCCAGGCCTGAATTCAGCTAGCTGCGTAGGGAAGGGCATTCAGGAGAGGCTCTTCATCACCTTGAGGATCTGCCCCGCTTCCAAAAGCCCCACAGCCCCAGTTATCATGCACAGACACCAGCACAACACCAGACAAACCCACAGCACCCCATGCACGACAAGGGACATATCTGTGTTGGCACAAAGCAGCACCCGAGTGGTAAAAGCACAGCGCTCCCCCTGTGGAGCCAAAGCACAGCCGCCCTGCACCTCCCTGAGCAAACACATGGCATTTTACTGCCCACAATTCACCCTATGCATCCTGACAAATTCCTTCTCCTGAAACTCACCATTGCCCCAGGCGAGGCTTGGTGGCACCTGCTGCAGCTTCCTTGCTTATCAGAGCCACGACAACCTCTTATCTATAATTAGAAGGATCACTTGCTGATTCAAGGAAGGTGAAAACCTGCCCAGACCCAAGCCAGGCTGACATGCAGTGAGGCACCGGGCAGAGCTGGGCACACGTCCTGCTAGGAGCTCTGAGCAGGAGACGGCCTCTCCTCATGGATCTGGGGCTGGAGGGGATCAGTGCTCGTGGATCTGGGGCTGAAGGGCAGCCAGGGCCTGGTGGGATGGCTGCCTCCTGCTGCAGGCCCTGCAGATCAGCACGTGGCGGCCAATGCTGCAGCTGGACATCAGCGAGAGGAATTTCTGCCCCCTGGTAAGCACTCAGGCCATGCACATTACTTCGTTGCAAAACAGCAGAAAATATATTCTCCCCAGTTAAAAAAGCCGTACAAAACTCTATTATGTACTGTGGCTATTTAGGTGAGTGAGATGCCCAAGCAGGACAATAATGGCAAAACAAAATAGTGCAAAATAATATTTTAATCTTATGTAAACACATGGACGCAAAACGATGTCAAATTTGTTAAAAAATCTTGGACATTAATAATAGAAAATGGGATTTTCTTCATGTATAAGAGTGAAAAGAATGGTACGAGGAAGTAGTAACAAAATGTTAGTAGAGGAAACTTCCTCTTGGAAAGCAAGCAGAATCAACACAGTATATTGGAAGTGTAAGTCTGTGATGAGATGATGATAAAAAAATAATGGAAGGAAGCAAGGTACAACTAAAAAAAAAATTCTGGCATGAGCAATGGATATGTTTTCATGAATTTCATTGCACTTTGTGTGCTAATAAAACAGCCACTGATCTTTGCATTTTAATTTACAAGAGCCAAATCTTCAAACCTATTGAAAGCAGTCCATTTGGCGATCAAAGAAATCCAACAGCTCCAGCAGCTACCTGAAAATTAAGACACTCTCGTTAGTTATGTCTTAGTATTCTTACCACAAAATGCAACAGTCTGCAGTGGGGCCCTGTGACAGCAGCCTGGCTACAGCAGCCATGACCACAGCTGCAGCCATGGGCATAGACAGACTGAAGTTGTCCTTCACTGACACTGATCAGTGTCAGCCAAAAAAGCACGAGTTCAGTGAGCACAGGTCAGGTAAAGCAAAATTCAGTTGGAACACAGAGTTGGGAAAAAAGTCTGATGAAGGAAAACTTCATCTTTTCAACTAGCTGCTTTCCTAACTGTGATTAGGAAACACCGATTCGGAAAAGTTTGAGATAAGATGCATCTGCTTGCAGTGCTTCTGCTCTTACTGCAGAGAGCCTGCAGACTACCTCACAGCTTTGTATTTACCTGACAAAGTTGCCTACACTGGACAGGCTACCAAAAATTAATGACATTTTCAGCTTTCAGCTCTAGCAAACTCTTGTTAAGAAAAAACAAATAGCATTTTCAGACAACTTCCATGCTGCTAACATTTTTACAAATGTTTAAATATCTCACAGATTTTTACACTGTTTTTACAAGCATACACTTTTATTTGCAGAATTCCTCATGTGAGATATGAAATATCATCAAAGCCTATAAATATAAAAAGACTTTACTAGGAAGTTTCCTTTTACTCACCTATCCATGTGAATCACTTACTCTAAAGGCACGGCAAGTCTTTTTATTGCTGCAGCACTTGCCATAATTTATATTGGAGGGTGTAAACGTTTGAGAAAAGCCCAGGCTCATGAAGATCCGGTACTTTGAAGATGCGATCTGTAATATTATTCATTGCATCACTGTTTTCTATCTTAAAAGGAGGTGGCATCACCGCAGAGCTGCAGCTGTGCACTGAGACTCTGTCTCATCATGAACACGGAGGCAAAGCCCAGACTTGCAGTGCACCTGCGTGCGCTCTCATCTTGCTCTAATAGTACTGACTAAGCACTGGGAAAATTCTCAGGCCCTTGTTTACTGAAAATAAGGATCTTTTAAGACTGCCACCATATTTGAGTGTTTTAATTAAGCTGTAAAACTTCAATAATTGAGATCCACAGGTGTGAAATGGTACAAATTGATGACAGAAAGGCCCATACCTCCTGGTGGGGTAGGCGTTCAGCTCTTCCTGCTGGACGGAGGCTCTTTTCTGCAGAATATTTACCTGCAAAATACATCCCAGGTGAAAATGCTGTACAAAATTCTAATAAATAAGTTTACACTCATTTCACAAAGGTGTTTTTCTTGTCTATTCTGCCTAAATAAAAAGCAGTAATGCTTTAGCTGCATATTAGAAGTAATGATAATACTCCATAGCAGATTGTCAGGATATCCCCAGCACACCACTTGCTGCATGCTACCCACTTTAAGAATAGAGTCAAAACAGCTTTTACATTCAGCTTGTGGCAGCATATGGATTATCAAGGGGTTGGGAGCTGCAGTTGTACCCTCAGTGCAGGTACAAAACCTGAGTTCTGATCCCCACACTTCTGTTCTTGTGATACTCACCTGCTCTTGAAGGGTATGAAAATTAATGTTTATCAACACAGTGGCAGCTTTTGGAGAACTCACCAAAAGCAGATCATTATTTTTAGTGATATTTATTGAAAATGTTGCCCGAGCACACAGGATTTTCCTTCTGTTTATTTTTATCGCTGCTTGGTGCTTATACCAAGCCTGTCCTCTTCATCCCCCTCCAACAATAAATAATCCTGACAGGTGCAGAGATTCTGCTGCCCTTCTTGTCTGATGTTTTGAAACAGGAATTCCAACAATTTTCAAAGACCAGCACACCTGTGCTTCAGGAAGGAGCCCTGCTTACCGACTGGTCTGTGGCTGCAGTGTACCAATGGCAATGCAGCCAGCAGCTCTGTGTTTCTGGTGACACCCAGTTCTTAGTGTGTGCAGTTACTTTTACTCTTCTGAAATGCACTGGTGCTCACAAAAGCCCCGCAGGTGGATATCAGATTTTACCTCTCTCTTTTTGAACTCGTTACAAGATGTAGAGTTCTTACATTCGCTGCAGTGCAATGCTTCCTACCAGACAGTGCTAATGGTCAACAATGCTTTAAAAACAGCTTTTTACTATCAAGTGGAAATTGATTTCCTCAGTTAATCCTTAACTTTTTATTTCCCATAAATATTTCGGTGAGAAAGAGCATCACTTCCATCAGGAATCCTTTGACATATAAGCAGAGTGTCTATAACCACAGTATTAAAGTTGTGTCATTAGCAACACAGGAATTTGAAACTTTCCCCTGTGAACATTTCCTACTTCTGTTAAAGGCAAATTTTGCCATGGGAAACATCTCATGCTTGGAAAAAAATGCAACATAAATACCCTTCTACATGTACAGAAAAGAAAAAAAGGAATAAGAAGGAAAGAAGGAAGGGAGGAAGGAAAAGTAAGATCAGTAAAGCAAATACATTTAATGACCAGGCATCTCCATAGAGGGAGTGCATAAGGAAGAGAAATGGAGAGCTTGTAGATCTCTACCAGCTTGAAAAATGCTGTGTCAAGCCCGCACTTGCAGGCTGTGTCCTCAGGGCCGTCGCTCCTCCTGGAGCCCTGGGCAGCCTGCAGCACCTCCAGCACTGCCATGGCACTTCGTTTCTTCCCTTCCTGTCGCCAGGACAGATCCCAGAGCTCTGCATGGGGCCATCTGCCAACACTGACTGTTTTATTTGGATTGCCATTATCCCACATCCACGATCACTGCTCTTTATTATTATTTATCCTTCCTCAGACCTTTCTGTGTCTGTGAGTTCAGGCAATGACAATTATGTATGAAGAACTTTCTTCCAGCTCCTCATACACTCAATAGAACAGCACCAAATGACCTGTTTGGGAACTCAATACTAAAAGTATTAGTAGTTCCCTATTTACAATGACACTCTGATATTTCTATTAGCCAGGTTTGTGTCTATTTCACATTAAAAAAATAGATTTTGTATTGCTGCAGATGAGCTAGTGTTTTGCAGGATTTAAGACAAAGCATTACAGAAGTGAAGACGGCATCTGAAGATACAATACAAAAGCTCTCAAGGTGAAGAAAGTGGGGGACGTGACTGAGGAGCATGGGAGCACTGCCATAACCTGGTTTTGAAACTTAGTATGTTAGCCAAATTATAGATGGCCTAATTTCTTGCCTAGACAAGAAGATAAAAAACTGAAGATAAATAATAAAAATTTACCTGAGATTTTAAAGATACAATGGTGTCTTCAAGTTCCTGCCTCAAAGATGCTGGCATTAGAGTTTTGAGTTTGGTTTCATATTCTTGTCGTATATGGGTCACCTGTACAGGAAAAGAAAAATATATAAATAGGGCTACTCTGAAGGTTAGAAAGTAACTTTATTTTCGCTTCTTTTGTCCATTTTGCAGTCCAAGTAAACTCAGAATTACTGTATCAATGGAAAGGTAAGAAGAAAGATCAGCAAAGACCTGTAAAGAACCAAAGATGTGTAAAAGAGGAAGAAAGGGAAAAGAAAACATGAAAAGGAAATGGTTATGGAAAGGAAACAACAGTAATACAATTGTTGGGCTATGGTCAGAAGAAGTTATAATACTACTTTCCTAACTCTATCTCAACAGGGATACAGGCATATGGCTGAATGGCCTGCTAATACCAGTGTAAGCATTTCAAAACTAGTTTTAAAGTTATTATAGACAAAATCCACAAATTGTTCTTTGCCCCTTTTCACAGTTCATGGTTCAATTACTCTTCATCAACAGAGTTAAAACAGTTTCTCCAGTGGTTTTTTTCACTTGTTGCAAGTAACTGGATAAGGCCACCTGACAAGAAAACTTGGCCCGTTTCATGTAAAATAGCAATATCATCATTTGTACAGTTAACTTTCTCCCCATAGTGCCAACATTATTGTGTTCAGAAGTGAACTGTCAAGAATCATAGAACCGCTCAGGTTGGAAAAGACCTTCAGGATAAAGTGCCACCTCAACCTAACCATGGTACCCTAACAGCCCACTGTTAAATCATGTCCCTGAGCACCACATCCAGATGGTTTTTAAACACATTAGAAATTTGCAAGGAAACAACAGGCAGAAATGTTAGCTTGCTTTTCTGTGCAGTTATGAGATGTCATCCAGTAGCTTCCAGCAACTCAGACACGTCGTGAGACCAGAAGTTCACGTAAAAATCATTCCTAAAGAAGAACGTCCTAGTCCATAACCTTACCCAACAGACATGGAGTACAGCATGAAGTGCTGCTACACGAGGACAGACCAACTGGAAGGGCTGTGCTTTGCAACCCCCAGTGTACCTGGATTTGCTGAATCCTGACAATTGAGTCCTGGGAATCTCTCCTGGCTTTGCCCACCAAGTCTCCCAGAACTGCTGCACACTTTATTACTGTGCTGAATCAGGGCCTCACATCTGTACTGAAGTTCCAATAGGATTAATTGCTTAATTCAAATTAAGCAAGTACTTAGGTGTTTTTTTCTGGATTAGCAGCCGAATGTGTGAATAAAGGATAAAAGGGGGCTCTACAGCAGATTAATTTAGGAAATATTTTTAAACTTTCAAATCAATTCTTTCTTATCTAATGCATTTACACAGCAACACCATTTTGTGCTGATTCTATTTTAGCAACATTTTCTTAGCTCGCAGTGGAAGCACAAGTCAAAGTCTCAGCCTCTCAGCTCCGTCCCACTTGCTTGCACAGGTGGGGACCGAACCAAGGTCAAGGAATGATGTGCCAATTACCACCCTGTGCACAACTCAGAGCATGCCAAACTATGCATTATGCATAGTGCAATTATCAATATAAAAGGAATAAAACAATCTGATGAAACTTCAGGAAAATTTTGCCTATGAGTCATTCTGACATGCAGAAATCTCCAAATCTCTATGCAAATAGGCAATTAGAGGCTTTCCTTGTGAACTGCAAGTGATGCCACTATGCAAATATAAAGAAATAACAGGAAAAAGATCTGTAAGACAGGAAACCTTGTCTGAACTCTGCTTGTTTATAAACCAGTGATCAAAATTTATGTTTCTTAAAGTTACTCTGATAAACTTGTGCTAGTCGTTCTGCAGAGGCTTACAAAGTTATGGATAGGTGCCTTGCCAGCATAAACATTTTCTGAGCCAACTGCTCATTTGGGTGGGGACCTCGATGCAGTCAACTCCATGGAGAGCACTGAGGATGTGAGGAGCTGAGCCTGGGCTCCCAGCAGCTTCCTTAGGTGCAAGCATGCAGGAGTCCCTCATTGTAATTCTTCCAAGAGGAAAGTCAAGGCAATTTCATACTAAATAGATGCAACAAAAAGCTGAATACAGCTCTGTGAGTGAAATAATAATGATCTAATTGTGCAACTTGCAACCAGGTCGCTGTTTTTAATAGTTTAATCTGCAAGTGTCCTCCAAAGACGTGCTTTCACAATGCTCTTTAACATTTGCCATTGACTCTGCAAAGCACCCAGGGGATCGCTCCCCTTTGATGAAGGTGTTTCTTGGAAAGTCAGGAAGGAACACGTATGGTGCTTTAAAGTACAGCTGTGTAGTCTGGGTCTCCTGAAAGACAAAATGAGAAACAAGCCCTGGTAGCAGAAGGGTTGCCTGGAGTTGATCTCTTACTCTATTTCAGAAAGAAGATGAACATTTTTCTTGCAGTAAAACTCTTCTTTGGGATACAACTGCATTTTGTTTGTTTCTTAAGTCAAAATATGTTGTTTTCAACTGTGCTCACTCATAATTGCATCACAATGAGATGAAAATAAGATCCCAGCTGTTTCCTGTCACATTATGATAAAGAACATGCTGAGATTTTCGGCTGAAGTTACTATCAAGGTTTATTGACCCAAGAGATTAAAATAGTGCATGGCAAAAATCCGAATCAGTTCTTACAAGTGAAAAAGGACACACAGTGGGCTAATATATGCTAATCTTAATGAGGGGAGGTTTTTATTTTTTAACATTGATTTCTGACCCAAGGAAACTGATGTTTGCAGGGATTTTGTGTGTGCATGCGTGTGCCTTAAAGGCTCTCTTGTTCTTTCATAGCTTCAAGCTGCAGCCCTAGGATCCTCGAGCACTGTGTCTCCTCTCACACTCGTGAGAGATGTTTAAAATTGCAATTCTTCAGCCCTCAGGAGGGCCTTATCTGCTGGATGAGGACAGCTCTATTTCAGTTACTGTTGGGTTCGTTGTCATTCAGTCCTGAGAAAGCTGTAGGTTCATTTTGGTGAGCTGCTTTAATCCACGAACCCCCAGGAAGGTTTTATAGCTTTTAATATGAAGCTGCCACGCTGCTCTTTGTTTATTCAGGTTGGTGGCTAGGATATGAGGTTTTAAGGTTTTATCATCAATCATCTCTGGTGTCAGGAGAAAGAACCAAAAGCAGAAGTTGCCAGAAAGAGGTAAGCTATGGTCAGTCACAGTAAGTTAGAATCAAGATGAGGCAAATATTCACACAATTATGACCTGGTCACACTGTAGCCACTCTTCTCCTTCAAAAAGCAATATCCTATGCACAACCAGGAGAAATGCAGCAGCTTCAGGATGATCAGATGTACTTCTGCCCATGTACTCACAACAGCCTGTAAAGCAGAGGCTATTCTGCTTCTCTGCTACGCTTTGCTATACAGCCACATTGCCCCAGTATCTCAGGCAGGTTGCTCAGAGCCAGCTCTCCCTTTTTCAAGAGGTCTACAATGCTGGGTTTGCCTTCCAGTGGCCCTGGGGCTCCAGATAGTGCAACATCCCCTTCTCAAACCATTGAAAAAACAAAAACACTGCAATCTTCTCCAGATCTCCCAATTGTAATTACTTGATTCAAACCAGAGGAGCATAAGGAAAATGCTAATGAAACAGTGAAGTACGCATTGCCAAAGCAAATGAGGGGACCAGAGATGAGTTGTTCAAGTTCCTTAAAAAGACTATCTTGCCTTGAAGGGCATGAAGTCAACATTTAGTGTACGTCAGATAAGAATCAAAAGGCGGTTCACTTAACTCAGGTTTTGTGGGTTTTTACTATCTCAATTTCTGCCTGTTTGTAACATTTGTGAAGGACAATAATTCCACGTGCCAGGAAATACTACGATAGTGACCAAAAGGCATAATTGGGATCATGTAATTATTATCAAATTTTCTCTGCATTTCAGGGGAGTAAGATGAGATAAGTTCTTTCCTGCCTCTCTCCAGTCCTTTCCTGCGTTATTCAAACAGTGTGGCTGAAAAAGCTGTCATAATGCTGTTTAAAAGAGAAGTCTCTTTAAAAAGTTTATGCCTCTGTTCAACAGTACAAATCTCCGTGAGAAGACATGAAAGATGTGTTGTAATAAATCTGAAGACAGGTTAGGGTACCAGCAAGGTAAAAATAACTCCTTCAGCCTTAGGCAAACCATTTCATCTCAGACTGAAGTCTCAGCCTTCTAAATGAGGATAATAATAATACTGTGTAGGTCAGCTTCATTCAGGTGACGTGAAGATGGCTGAAGTAATTTTCTGAAAGCCGTCTGAAGAGGCCAAGAGAAGGACAAATTACTACGATGCCATTCCAATTAAAAAACACACAAAAAGACAAACAACCCAGAGAATATCAAAGTAACAATTAATCGCAGCTTGGTTCTCTTCTCCCTAATTGCTGTGACTCCTCTGCTTCTCAGCACTCCCAAACCCTCAGTTAATGAAGCTCTAATCCCACAGAAGTGCTGAGAACCTACATGGGCACCTTCCTCCATCAGCCCCATGGGGAGAGCTGGCCCAGCTCTACGGCCAAGGAACCAAATCCACCAAAACCTGCAGCTTCCTGAAGGTTCAGATCTCTCATGGTTCTCTTGTAAAAGAATAATTACAACTGGAAATCTTTTCAAACACTTTTTTCTGGTGAATAATCAAATTATGTATCATTTTGTTGTTCGGTAAAGAACAAGGCCTCACCATTCATCCTTTTGCAAAGCAGCCAAATAAGAAAATCCGCTGCTTTTCTGTCTATGACCTCCCTTACTTCAGGCATGTGAACTGAGAAATGTCTGTCGAAATACAGTTCTTACAGGTTTAAAGAAATATTTTGCAATTTGATACAAATGTTCTCAAGTTCTTAAGGAAAGTAATGAATGCTATAAATTGCACAAACACAGCACGGCTGCGAATGGTAACTGAGTGTGATCAGCAGAGCCAGTTATTCTGCCAAAGGTACACAACACTGCTCTCCACTGAGCAAAAATAGTGTTGGAGAACCTACTCTGCTCTGACAGCCCCCAAAAAGCATAAATTAGTGGCACAGCTGTCCACTTTATTCGTTTTTAGCTGGTAAACCATTGGAGCATCCAAAATA